CCTGTTTCCATGCTTGCCCTTTCCAATCACTTTTTCTCTGAATAGCCACTAAAACTCACACACACACACACACACACACACACACACACACACACACAAATGCGTACTGTGTAATTCTTCTGCTTTAAATACTTCATTGGTTTTTGACTGGGTGGGTAATAAAACATAATGCAATGCCCCACAAGATCTGGCTATAAAAGATGACTTGGATCTCATATTCTACTTCTCTCTTTAAAACCCAATAAGCTCCAGTTTCACTAGATTTCTCAAACATACATACCACAGGCTTCATTACTTTAGGATCTTTGTGGTTTGTTTATAGTTTCTGTTCCTGAATCTTCCTCAGTGTGGTTGCCTCCTCTGCATTCTTTAGGTCTCATGCTAAATGTTACCTACTTAGATCTTCCAATTACCTCCCCACTATCATTGTTTTCTCTTATAGCATCATTTATTTTTCCTCTAAGGAAAAAATAATTATTTTCTAATTTCTAATCATTTTCTTGTTTATGATCTGTTTTCTTTAGAAACATTTAGTTCTGTAAGGTCAAAAACATGTATGTACATCCATTCTATTGATGACTCTAACACAAGAGCCTCTTCAGCAATTGGTACTCAGTGGTTATTTCCTGAATGAAAGCATAATTATATGAATGGATCAATGAAGGCTGTTTACCTTTTGAAGTCTGATTTTGTGATTATCGATTCTGAATTATTTGCAAGGTCAAATTCTGTGGATGAATCTAGTGTTGTGATTCATCCTGAAATTATTTTCCATAATATACAAACTGACTGTGAGGTTTAAAGAAATTTTTACTTTTGTAACAAAATAATATTGATTATGGCTCAAATTTTGGATTTTTATAATAAAAATAAATTTGTAATATAACAATTTTCACCTTCCTTTAACTTCTTCTTGTGCCTGCCAGGCAAGCAAAATCCTGGGTCTAGGTTAGGAACAGATTGAGGACTGGCATTAAGACATAGAGTGAAGAACCACTTTTTGGAAAGATATGCTCTATGCAAAGGCAATTCTGAAGGAAATGCCAAGTTGCATTCCAGGCAGCCTGTTCAAATGAATCATAGCTGAAAAAGTGGCTCAGTATGACCCTAGAGGTGGAGTTGGGAAGACCTAACTCTAGAGAAGTTAAAAGGAGGGAAATGAGTCCAGAGTGATTGCTGAAGCAGATTTTCGGTTTTGTGAGTTGTTCATGCTGTGAAGTGAGCAAGATAGGGTAAAAGGTGTTGACTGGATCAGCACAATTAATAATGAGTTAAACGTAGAGCGGATCATACTTCTGGTCCACTGGTGGCAAGAAAATCTTCAGACTTTGAGAAGGCGGGCCTTTGAAATCCTATTCTCTATTCCTTTGCTCCAATTTGAACATTCTTTCAACAGTTAATCATTTACCTCTTCCTTCCCCAAAGCATGCATTTTTGTATAATTTATTTGAATTTTCATATTTTTCTTCTGTATCAGATCAAGTTAATACAAGTGAGGTTTGATGACATATTTGTTTGCATTTCACTAGTTCTTTATGTGAGCATGTTCTAATTTTCAGACAGTAAGGTGTCAGGTGTAGTTATAAATATAAAGTACACCTGTATGTGGTAAATCCCCAGCATTTCCTTAAGTGAGAACCAACTTCATCCAACCACCACCCAGGAAAGGTCAGCAGAGATGGATCAGGATTTCATCTGCCTGCTTCTCTCTCTCCTTCCTTAACTTACCAATTGAATATTTACTAATTAAGCACTTACTCTGTACATTGTTCGTCATGCCAAAGTTAACATGCCAACCAAGAAAATGTAAACTTAAAAGGTCTTAAAATAAAAATATTTTATTTGAACAATGAAATATGCTTGAAAATAAGAACACAAGGAACAGTAGAGTTCTTCAGATCCAAAACAATGTTTTTCAAATTATAGATTGGCAATCACCCTCTCCTAGGTCATAAAAGAAATCTGGTTAGGAACCATACTTTTCCAAATAACATAATAAGAAAAAAAAATGACAAATATGTTAATAGAAATATGTGCATTGTGAGTAAGAAAATGAATTTTTTTATAAGATGTATAGAGGACAGATGTATGTATCCAAGGTAAAGTGTATGCTTAATATGAAACAGGGTTTAAATAATGTTTGAAAGACACTACCCAGAGGAGAAACCAATTATTTTATTATGAATGGTCAAAGAAGTCAGGCTTCTTTGGGGCTGGAAGGACTTGTATGAGGCTTTTCAGAATAAAGAGCTATAAAAAGAAATCTGTAATTGTAAATTAAATTATATCCATAACAAAGTAAACTTCATAGAATTAGCTTATTCTTGAATGAACTGCTACCCCAGTACCAACCATCCTTCCAGAAACTTCTGGGAAACATCTTACCAATATACAATAAAACTTTGATTTCCTAACTTTAATCATCTCTTATCTCTTATGCCTCAAGGGAAACTTTTCCAGAGTTGTTCTTGTGAAATATACTACACTTAAAAAGGGTGATTCAAAAAAAAACTTCCCTCCAGTTGTTTCTTTCAACTATTTATGTATTTAAGATACTGAGATTTTTTTTCTTTAAAAACGTGAAAGACCCAAAGATAAATACTCAATTCAATAAATTGAAAGTGACCCCCCCACACCATACACACGTATTAGATTCACTTGTGACTTCTATTGGACAGTGGCTTCTGAGTTCTACCGGTCTAATTTTTATTGGGCAAAAATACAAGGACTCAGAACAACTGATTTAATTTAGCATTTCTTTTTTATACAAAAGAAGGAAATAAAAAGAATAAAAGCAGTCAGGGTGGCCTCAGGAGAAGGGGAGCTGTTGTTGCAGGAATCTTGCAAGTTAATGAGAATTCACCCGGGACTCAAGAGCGATGGAGAGAGGGGGAGAAAGGAGGAGATGGAGGGGGGATAAAAACTCTTCCTTTGCAGCTGGCCCTCTCCCTCATTTGTTGCTCCAATAAGCAGTAATTAGGTCCTGAGCTAATGGTGTCAGCTGATCTGCTGTTTTTAGGCTAGACCCAGAGGAAATCTCCATGGAAACCCTGCTGGAGTCGTCCCCCCACCTGGATGCTGCCTGCTCCTTTCCGCCACCTGGCTGCCGCCCGGCCCGCTGCTACCTCCTCCCGCCTCTAACCTGCAGCCTGCAGCATGCGCACTGCCCCCGGGATCCCTAAATGGGACAATTCTGCCCGTGACGTCAGCGCCCAGCCGTCTCCACAGAAACTTTTGTCCCATTGGCCAATCAGAGAGCTTGGAAGGGGCCGGGGGGTGGGGGTGGGAGGAGAGGGGAGTGGGAGGGGTGGGGGTGAGGGGAGAGGCGAGAGGTTTAGTGTGTGGAGCTGCTCGCGCTCCGCCCGGGCTGTCAGTCCCTGCTCCAGCCGCCGCGCGAGACCTTCCCGGAGACGCGCACACACACAGCGCACCCCCCACACACCGCACACCCTCGCTCCCTTGCTCACACACACGCACACACTCAGCCTGGCGGAGCAGGAGCCACTGACCATTTTGCAAGTGCTGGGACCAGCTGCAGCGCGGTGGGCACAAACACTCCGCGTTCCCATTCTGGGTTTTCGTCTAGGAGAGGACGACGAGTAGCGAGCGTGGGCTCCGACGCCGACCAGGCGCCGGGCACTGGTCGGGCCGCCTTACTGGCAGAGCCGCTCCCTGGGACAGGCGCGGGCCTCAACAGAGAGTGGAATAAAGAGGAGCGGCCGCAGCCACTGCGCGAGGAGGATGGGAACTCCCCTATTTCCAGCACTGTAACAAACGGATGGAAATCCTGAATGGAGAAACCGCTGACTTCATTTGCTTGGGAAAATCGTCCAGAGGAACTCAAATTTGGCTACTCTGAGCAGTGGAGGGGGTGTCCATGACGTGGCAGGGGGAAAATAGACAACCGAAACCTCCTGTGTGAATTGCAAACTGTGACCAAGCAAGGGAAAAATGATTTCTCTCTGTATTTTAATTCCATCCAAAGGGTTTCAAGCATCTGTACCATAAACTTACTTCTATGTCTTGTACCCACTTCAGCAGAAACCAGAGGAGTCCTGTCTGGGGGCCCCATCATTATCCAGGAGACCTGCCGCCAGCGGCCTGCTTTCCTTTACCCACCTCTCTCTGGATCGGATGTCTGTTTGGGGTACTACATCTATCCTATAGAACTATGGTCAAATTTCTATGAATTTCTGGGACTTAACTCCTGGAACCTACATGTGGGGCTGGGAATTATGCCCAATGCTTCTAAAGAAATGACATTTTAAACTGTTTTTTAAAATACCTTGGTGTTCTTAAACCCATAAAACAGGATTTGATAGGCTTACAAACATGACAGGTAAGAACTTTCTCTCTTTCTAGTCTCTTAACGACTGTCGCAGAGGAGGCCAAATCAGAGCAGGACCCAGGAGGAAGGAGAGCCCAGGGACCCGTGTGCCCTTCGGGGCTCCCGGGCTCGGCCCGGTGACTGCTATCGGGAGAGGCGCAGCCCTGGTTCCTGGACCACAGACCAGCCACTGGGGAAGCTTCTGGGGCGCGCGAGGGTAGGCGGTGTTGCGCTCCACCTGCCCTGCCCGGGACGCAACGCTGGGGCGAGGCGTCGAGGGACGAACCCAAATCAATATTGGGATTTTTAATAAACCAAGGAATGGGATTTTAATTATTCAAAACCCAGCTTCTCTGGACCAGATGCTGTTGGGATGGTCCTGGTCACACAATATTAAAGAGACCGATCACTAAGAGGACGAGAAGAGTGTCTGAGACATCCCTTGCAATTACGAATAAACCAGACTTGGTAGCATGGGGCATTGATTGCTGGTGCCCAACCGGACCCTCCTCCCCTCTCCCGGTTCCTCCCCCACCCCACACGAGGCAGGCTCCCGCGGCGGCCGGGACCTCACGTCCCCGCATCGTGGCCAGGGCTGCATTTTTCATGAGCCCGGGGTGAACAGGTGCGAAGTGCGCTGGGAGCATCCGGCCGACGGCCGGGCACCGGGAACATGGAGAGCGAGCGCGACATGTATCGCCAGTTCCAGGACTGGTGCCTTAGGACTTACGGGGACTCAGGGAAGACCAAGACGGTGACCCGTAAAAAATACGAGCGGATCGTCCAGCTCCTCAACGGCTCCGAGTCGAGCTCCACGGACAACGCCAAATTTAAATTCTGGGTCAAATCGAAGGGCTTCCAGCTGGGCCAGCCGGATGAGGTCCGCGGGGGAGGCGGCGGCGCCAAGCAAGTGCTCTACGTGCCGGTCAAGACCACGGTGAGTGACTCGCCTTCCTCTGTTATTTGTCTGCCCAAGCAGCCCGGCGGGGAGGGAGGAGAGAGGGGGGAGAGAGGGGGAGCCGTGAGCCACTGTTGGCTCGTGTGCCCCCACCTTCCCCAACCCCCTCCCCAAGTCGTCCCCACTCGCATTAGCCAGGCGCGATTTCCCCACCGACAAGTCTTTGTGGTCCTTTATTTTAAAGCGGCAGCGCACCTCCAGAGCGGTCCATCCTCCCCGCCTCCCGGCTCCAGGACCCGCTGCCGTGGCTTCCTTCCCCGGGTCGGGCGGCGTCCTGCGTCCTCGGGCTGGGCCATTGTCCCACATCCTTTGCTAGGAGCCTGGCACTTGTCCCACCGCCGCTACCGCGCCTAGAGGCCAGGCTGGAACCCCAGCATCATGCTCTGATAACAGACGATTCTGATCGATAGACTACAGTGTCTCCTCATTGGCACAAAGCCTGAATGTGGTGGTAGCGGTGGACGTGAGGTTTTCCCCAGGACCACTATCAGGTTTTATTGTTAGACCGCTGCCTGGGAGTCCCGGGGCAGTCCAAACGCCTTGATGACTGCCAGAGATCATGGCCAGGACTGTTTAGATTATAGATAAGGTCCTAGAGATTCCTCCTCCCCCACCCCCGTTCCCTTCTTCACTTGCCCGTTGCACAAATAAAGCCGAAGCTAGAGGATGAATAACAAAGAGAGATGGGTTTGGGCGCGATCAAATGGTGTATTTATTCGTCGTTCTTGGGTGGCTCTAGTCTCAAGGCTACAAAGCTCTAGCCGGGGCGCTGTGAGGTACTGGCAGTGAGAGTCAGTACATCTCAGCTTCACACGCAGATCTGCCTATGGGGCTGGGGAGCGGCAGCAGTGTGGATCTCCTTTGCAAGAAGATGGGAACTGTGGGCTACAAGTAGGACTGCAGATCAGATGCATAAGACCTTTCTGCCTCATGCTACGGTGGGTACTCGCCTGGAGTTAGGGTGGGGGAAGCTACCTGGCACCCTTTGTATTTTTGCCTCTTTGGGATTTCTTGAGCTTATGCTCCCCCCTCCCCTCACTGGCAACTGTTTCCTCGTGCAATATTCCTGGAGGATGCTAAAAAGGAGGTGTCTTGAAGGCTTCCCTATCTCTAAGGGAGGTATATGAACTTGGAAATAATGTGCATGGAAAGCTTTTTAAAGCATTATTTGGTGGACTCTTTCAGGTTTGGAAAACAGTTTGTGGTTGCCTGAGATTAATTAGGAATTGTTGATTTGAGGATGTGTATTTCTTTTGGAATTTATGCCAAAAAATGGAAAATGAAAATAAAGGTGAAACAAACATATAAAAGTTGTTGTTTTAAAAAAATATAATATTTCAGGGAGGTAGATTTACAGGTATAGTCTTATTTGACGTGTGGCACTGCTAAAGACAATGGTCAGATTACTGTTTTGCTTTACTAAATGATGAGAACTAGATTGGCATGAATTAGTACTGAGGTTTATTTACATCTGCATGAGCCAGAAGCCTGTGAATTTTTTTTTATATTAGGAATAACATTAAGAAATCTACTAAATCATTTATTGTTAGACCAAGTAAATTAGAATTCTAGATGAATGGATAAAATAATTTTTAAAGATGTGTTTACTTAAAATACTATTTAATATCATATCAGCTTTAAGGAAACATTGCTAGATGGGAAGTTTGTTTTTCATTCTTTTTGTTAAACTTGGGTCTCACTGTTTAGCTGTCTGGTTAGCTTGACTTATGCATCAGTCAAATGAGTTGTATAGATTTGGCTACATCCATTATATGTGTTAACATATATGTGCTTTTCAAATGTTGATTAAAAATTCTAAATAACAAATTCCATAATGGTTTTAGAGGCACTAATATAATCATCTATGTCAGTTATTCAAGCCAGCGTTCCCATTCTCTAATACCCATGTGTCAGTCAAAAATTAATGCAGAGTTGTAAAAAAAATTATTGCTAAGACGTCTACTATAGAATGACAACTCCAGGGTAATAATAAAGGAACACGTGTTTCTCTTTCCAATAAAGATTCCATATATTTAACAGAGAAAGTATAATCTGTCGGGTGATATTCTTAGATAATGATTTCCATGTAGTATTTATGAGCTCTGATTTTCATTCAAGCCTGTTTGGAAATGTCGAGGAGTTTTTTTTTGTTTTTTTTTTTTTAATTCATGAACTCTTCTATTGCTCTTTATGAAAATTTTCTGCTCCTGACAGAATAACAGGCTCCACCTTCTCTGAGAGACAGCCAATCATCATTTCAATGAGTTAAAAAATAAATAAATGATCCCTTTTATCCTGTTCCCACATCTCAAATTATTTCTCTCTTAAAAACATGTTGATTTTTCTTTATTATAGCAGGAGTACAATCACCAACACAAAATATATTTTTTCTTTTAATTCAAAGTCATGTATTGTTTGAAATGAAATGTTGTGCTTGAATGGTATTTTCGAGTAAGAATCATCCTAAGCTCCTTGAGGTTCGAGGGTTCCTAGCTGGCTTGCTGTCAGTGAGAGATGTTTTGCTCCTGATGTTGCGGTAATGCATTGCTGCTGATAATTAGACATTATTACTACTGCAAAAAAGGCAAGAGAAAGGGGAGAGGACAGGCCCAGGATAATTAACTACTTTAGTTTAATGAAAGAAAGGGAGACAGATAGCAACTGGGAGGTTATACAAAACAGAGTAGACACCCCACATGGACATATAGAATTGCAATAAGACTTTCAGTCTCCTAGTTAAGGAGACTTGGTTCTACTTCTTATTTTCCCAAAATAACAGCTGTAGCTTTGCAAACACTCCTGCCCCTAAACCTTAAATTTAACTGATGATAAAATTGAGCAAGTGACAACTGATTTGAAAATTGTCCACTACTGGAAAAGATAAATATGCCTTTTAATATTTGTCCTGGCCGTGTCTGAAGCTGAAGGGACCTATCTGTCACTGATGTTTAGATTGCTCTGTGGCTGAGGAGATACCATTTGGTCACCAAGCAACACCATGCTGCAGCTCAGCCATTTTAGGTCTGGAGTGGGACCTGCACTTGTGTGGGCAGATGCAGTTTGTTGAGCATCCCATCTGTTTCTTTCCATACTACCGCTATTACAAACACACACACACACACACACACACACACACACACACACACACATTCATTAAGAGTGTCAGAAACTTAGAAGAATGAATTGATGAATAACTTAAAACAGTTCTGAAAAAGATATAGCAAATGTCTGACACTGATTATAACAAACTTTTAGAGATAATTTTAAATAAGCATAATTGTGGTTACTCTATTTTACTCCTTGATAGTTCTAGTTGAGTTTGCTTTTAGAAACTTTTGATTCTGATTGATGTTTTGCTTTTCTGGCAACAGTTAGTTGAAAGGTCGTATTTACAACCTAAACTACCAAAACATTTGATACACCATTTGATTTATGAATGATGAACTTAAAATAGCCAGAAAATACCTTAATCCTTTCTGTTAATAGTATGACTAATGCATTATCATGTGCTTTGAATAAGCCCCTTGTTTTGAATTAAACATTAAGAAATATGGCAAGCTCATGTTTTTATTTGTCTTTCAGTCTTAACAAAATAATAAACATTGAAACCGTGTAGTCAAATAACTGGAGTAATATTTTTCTTGACCTATATTTGTAGCAATAGACACTAATATCTAAATTTTGCCTCTCATATATTTTTTTTATTTACTTCACAATGAAACATAAAATTAATTTTCATCCAGAAAGGAATATGCATTATCTTTAGCTGTGTCATTTTAAAATGATGATTTATTCAGTTCTGCAATCTGTAGCCCCCGAGTTCATATTGTTCTTGCTGTGCATACTACTAATTGATTACTGTACAGTGATTAGAATGAATATTCATGGACTGGTTGGTTTATAAGCAGTTACTGTTTTTGTTAGTTTTCTGACTATGGTTTGTGTTATGAATCCTTTAATGTACATCCGAGTACCTTGATGAGGAATTATACATTTCCACCTCTTCTAACTTCATGCCACAGGCTCACTTTTCATATATTAGACCTTGATGTGGAGCTTGCTACAGAAATCAGACATGAAGAACTGTGCCATCAATCCCTTGTGGTACTTTGTTTCTATAACACAGGGAAAATCATAATAGTGAAGATAAAAACATGTTTTTGTTAATCATCTTCCATAGTGGGCATTGCTGCTGAGAGCCAACACATTGTTCTCTTCTTTCAAGTCCTGTGAGAAATACTATAGCATAAGTTTGGGGGATCAAACGTCCCAAGAATGAATGCCAACAATGTAGCTTACCACCTGACTTTAGTGGTTCCTTATGGGGTTGTTAGGAGGAACAAATCATCTAAGTTCCTTCATTTCTGTGACAAGTTTCTCACACAGTACCTATATACGCTCTCAGGGACAACTTTCCATTCCTAGAGGCCAATCTGGCATGAGTATTAAGGAGCAAGAGATTTCTAACACTAACTCCCCTGAATATAAGGAGGAAATTAGACCCTATTAGTATGTGAAGGCTGACCCATACTTATTTCCTAGAAAAACAATTCTTGACTTTTCCCTTGCTTATTCCTTGTCTTAGTATTAACCATGGAGTTGGGGGGCAGGATTCAGCCTGCATCTGTTTGCTTCTGTAATCTTCCTGGGGCGGCTGGGATTCTACTCTTCAAGATTTTCCTCTCTAGACTCACTGCATGGAATGGAGAAAGACGAGGAAGCAAAGATACAGATAGCCCAGCAAATTGTTCAAGATTTGAAAAACTGTTTATGTGAAGAGCATAAAGAATTTTTCCTAATACCTGTTATATTCGATTAAACTTCTTATTGTCTAACTAGAAAAGCTGAAAGTGACTCTAGTATGTTTTAAGTTACATTCATTTTCAGAATCTTTGGGTAACAAGATAAAATAAACTTGGGCTGGGGATGTAGCTCCGTGGTAGATTGCTTACCAGCCATGCATGAGACTCTGGGTTCAG